CACACACACACACACACACACACGCACACACACACACACACACGCCTTTCTTTATGTCATCTTTTCCAGCCCTCATTTTCCCCTCATGTCCGATTTTGTGAATCTGGGCTCTCTTAGTTTGAAAATAAACAGGTGAGACAACTACTTACCTTGGAAACTCTGAATCCTTCTTGCTGCCACCCTTAAGCTTCCTGTTTCCAAGCTAACTGAGGTAATACCAAGGAGTACGGTGCAGTTTGTACTTTTTGGGGGTGTTTTTTTTCAACAAGGAAAAAGTTGCCGACTGATATTAAATTACGAATCTTTCCTGCCTAGTTAAATATAGATTTGTTCACTTACTGCAAATTCAAAATGAGTTTGGAATAAATGCAGGATAAGAAAAGCAGGAGTATTATTGTGAGTCTAAAGTCACTGAGTCAATCTTTCTTTTTCCATATAAACAACCCCTGGTGCAGATTCCTTATGTCAATCACCCAGATTTGATGATCCTGTTGCTCCCATGTATTTCTCAGTCAAAAGCGTCTGTTGTTATGACGCTCCTCCTGCAGTAGCGCTTCTAGCCTTTTCACCATCTGAGCATTTGGAGGAGAGCATCATCAAAAATCATCAAGAAAGCCAGCAGAGAATGAGTTTTGGAAAAATACCATGGCAAACTGCTGGGGATAGAGTATGACACACTGAGCACAAGAGCAGGAGAGGGAGAAAGAGAGATGCATTAATGACAAGTTTCATGAGGACGGGAGAAAATGTAGACAAACTAGTGTACATCCTGCTTATGTGTGTCCAATCTCTCTCGCTCTCTGCCACAGACGTGTCATCTGTCATGTCATGTGAGTCACTACCTAAGATATGAATAGCAAATTAAATCTTCAAAAGGGATACAGTTTAAATCCCTTATCCTTACACACTGACTGACTAAGAGCCATTCAAATGTAATAAAAAGTCAACTTTAAGCCTAAAATTAACCACAATAATGAATTTGATGAGAGCAGAAGTCTTGTATTAGCATGCAATGTGTCTTTACTGGTTGATAAATATAGAAAGAAAGCTACATATGCATCTTACCTGTCTTTTCTTTGGTCTCACAGGATGCTGAAGAGGGCAGGCTTCATTCTGTGGCAGTTTAAAGCATGTTTCCTTTCATGGAAAATCATAGAATGTGGCAGAAAGACAAAAGAGTCTGCATTAAAAAACAATTCTTTGTTATTATCAGTCATAAAAAAATGCTCTTATCTAACAGATAAAGCAGTTTTCCACAAATGAACTTTGACCCTGGAGTCTTCTGTTGATAAACCATCAGAGGTGAGAACGCAGACATACTTTGCACGGTCACCTGCCCGATGCAAAGTTTTTGCTATGACTAATTGCAGCCGTGTGACAGAAACAGTAACAATACTGATCATTTTTCAGTAAATTTACAGTAAAACAAGCACC